AATTTTCAAATAATAACGACAATTTTCGAGCTTTCGTTTGGTTTTTAGTAAAAAGTTCTTTGCGCATGAGAATCTGCTGTCAACTACAATCGCATCCATATCAAAGCAATAATTTGCACTTTCTTTGGCACATTACTATTAAAAGTATTAACAATAAAAATGAATTAAAAAAATTTACCTTCCTTGAGTCAAGAGTGCGTCTACCAAAGCCTTCTTTACTCATTTCTTCCACCTTTTCCATGGAAACATTGCTTCTTGTAGCATGGTTGTGACTGGAAAGACAGGTTGAAAACATGAGACATACATGTAGGTATATCAGGGACCGCGGAGTGTGAATTTGTTTGGGGGGCTAGCGGCAAGGAGGTATTAGGTATTACACAATTTTTATAGAATATATATATGGTAAAATTTCATAAGGAGGCTCTTCGCTTCTTTATTTAAGAAAATTCAAAATGTCGGAAAWATTATTGGGGGGGCTGTAGCCCCCCAGCCTCCCCTGCTCYGCGGTCCATGTATATTAATATGTAAATGGTTACAGAATTACAAACTTTCGAGCTAATGGCTACAATATTTGACAAAAAGAGTTGACAATCTTTTTAATGCCGCAAGAAATAGCCATTTCAGCAACTATATTTGTCATTTTCTTGACTCTCCCCACCCYCCTCTAGTCAGTGTTGCAATCTGGAGATRGGACATGCTTGCCTTTTTATTCTACAACATTATTTTTGGGGAGAGGGTTAGGATTCCCATACTTAATTTTCCTAAAAAACAATTCGTTTTCACTATACGTCAAAGCGGCCATCTTGGAGGAACTTCAACAAAGGATTTCTCATTAGTATCTATTGTTTATTCCTCCAACATGGCCGCTGGTCTTTTATCTTTTGAATCTCATGGGAATGGTGGAAAACGATCAATGAACAGAAACCAKTTTTCACAGAAGAACMAAGTGAAATACAGTAARCTCTGCCAGGAAACCCTGATTTATTGAACACATAATAAACCCTTCCCCAAGAAAAGAATGGGAAAAAAACTCCCTTTACAAAATCCTCTCACATTTTTAATGGTACAGTTCTCTCCTGGAAAATCATGGAAAAAGTCTTTGCAGTACAGATTAATTAATGTTGTAACATAAAAATAAACTTTACTTATTATTATTTATTTATCATCTATCATTTTTTTTCATTTTTTTTGGGGGGTGGGGGGGGATCAGCTACTTCCTCATACGAATATTTATCATTTATATTTTTTATACTAAAAATTAATAAACATT